GAAGATGGGGCAGTGGGGAACAAGTGGGGCTGGTGACGGCCCGAGCGGGAGGCCGTGGTCCAGATCACCCAAAGCCCAGCCATGTTTGGCCTCCTTGGGACTAGGGTCAGCCCAGTGGGGTCTGCATGGCGAGAGGAACACGGCCCCATCAGCCTCTGTCCTGGCAGGAGTGGTGCTGTGCTTCTGGCTGGTCTGTCCTATGGGGGAGTGGGACCCTTGTCACTGCCAGGAGAGGCAGGGGCTCTGCCGAGGCTGGCCTGCAAGTGCGGGAGGCTGGGGAGGGAGGGCCTGGCTGAATGAGTGAGTGAGTGAGTGAGTGTGTGTGTGTGTGTGTGTGTGTGTTTGGGGAAGCTGGTCTAAATCCAAGTGGTTTTAGGCCCATCAGTGGTTTGAGAGCTCCTTGGAGGTACCTAAGCCACCATGTGAAGGGCCACTGAATCACATGGGAGAAACTATTCCCTTCCAATCCCATCCCTCTGATTACATAAAGGACGATGTCCACTTGCTGCTGGTTCGCCCTTTATGTCCCCTGAACACTTGCTAATCTTCCTTTTTTGTTGTTGTTATTGAGGAAAATTGGCCCTGAGCTAATATCTGTGCCAACCTTCCTCTATTTTGTCTGTGGGTCCCCACCTCAGCATGGCTGCCAACGAGTGGTGTAGGTCTGCACCTAGGAACTGAACCCAGGTCACCCAAGCAGAGCGCGCTGAGCTTAACCACTAGGCCACGGGGCCAGATCCGAACCTTCCTTTTTAAACCGAGAGCCATTGGGCCGGGGCTCACAGGCACGGTGCCTGCTGGAGTACAACGGTGCTGCTTGTTTTCAGGGTCACGTCTCGGTCACCTTGTATCTGTGGTCACTGGCTTTCTTTTTACTATTGGAATATTTCTCCTTTAAAAAAATTAAAAAAATTTTTTGTTTTCGTTTTTGCTAACAGCTTATAAAGCTTCCCTTTGAAACAAAGTTATTTTGGTAAAAAGAATGAGATCATCTGAAAGAGAAAGAGTAAACCATGCTGACGATGGTAAAGGGAGGTGGCAAAAATCACGGAGAAGATCCGTAAGTGAATGACTCAAGTTTGGGAAACGTGGACCAAGTGATGCTCAGCGCCCCCTCCCCGATTCTGTGATACTCTCTTTTTCCCAGAAAAGCGTTTCTTTTTGTTTTTACCTCTCCCTCTGCCCCATTCTCTGATCCAGGAGCGAGTGTCAGCAGCCGTTCTCTCTCTACAGTTGGCACAAGGAGGTGGGGAAAGGGGCTGAACATCTTTGGGAACGACTCGCTTCTCCTCTCCACCAGGAGGGGCCTGGTTTTCAGCCTGAGTTGGACTCTTCTCCCTAGTTCATTAGTCACATCAGTTTCCAGCAACAGTATAGAGACAAGGTCAATTTTCATAACAAACGAAGTATTTTTTAAAAAGTTATTAAATGTCTGTGTTATGATAAGGATGCAGACAGAGCAATTAGTCAACTTTTAAATCAAGCTTTTGATCATGTATTTATTTAGGTATATGTCACCTCACTGCAAAAAAAGGTCTTGTGGCAACTTACAAAAATATATAAAATACAGTAGAATAAAAATAAAGAAATCAAGGTAAAAGCAAAAGCAGACAGATAGAATGAAGCCAGAGTCCAGTAGGAGACTCAGTATGACTGTTAAAAATTATCTCAAATTTCACTTTGAGCTTCCCAGTGGCCAAAGCAAAGAAGAAAACATGACTAGTTACAAGGTTCCTAACTACAGTTAGTTTGGGGCTTTGGTATAAAAACAGATCTGGTTCAAATCTTGACTCTACTACTCGTTAGATGGGTGACCCTGAGCAGTTTGCTTAACCTCTCAGAACTTGAGGTTCATCACCTGTAATGGGGAAAAATAACACTGACCTTGGGGGTTCCTGGGTGGATTAGTGATAATGTATGCAAAGGTGCCTTCTAGCTCTAGGAGGGTGCTGCTTAGGCCCTCGGCTGCCCTTTGTCCTCACTAAGCTGCAGGTCCTCAGTCGTAAGAGGGAGTTGACACCTGTCCCCCGTCAGTCCCTACCTTGCCCAAGTGCGCAGCACGTAAGAGGCAGAGCCAGATTCCAACCCAGGACTCCCCAACTCCTATCCAGCGCTCCCTGACAGCCATCCACTTCTGTGACCTCCTGTCACCAGAGTGGTTTCCAAAGCTGTCACGGGGCAAAAGATGCTTTGGAACACGCGGGCTTTCAGGAGCCCTCAAATCATTCCTAGGAAAACCCCCAGGCCTTACCTTTAGGGCTGCCCCGAAGGCAGGGGCCCCTTCCTTTCCTGCCAGACAGAGCAGATTCACTGTAAGACCTGGAAATCTCTAGGGAGGCCTAAAGGCGGCAGGCAAAGCCCCTTCATGGGTCACGTCGTTCAGAAACACCAGAGACAGCGCCTGTGCCTTCTCTGCCGAGGTCAGGAGGACACGCCGGCCCTCCCCGTCCAGGCCCGTCCTGGTTTGAAGTACCTGTTGCCAATGTAACAAAGCCCAAGGCGGGTATAAACAAGCTGAGGGGGCTCAGATTTCCTTTAGCGCTCACAGGTTTGCACTCGTAGGCTGGCTCCAGTTCCCTCACAAAAACCCTTCCACTGACAGGACAAAATCCAATTGTCTTAGAATTTTCTTATTTCTATTAATTTACACTCAACTTTGTTTCAAATGTGACTGGAGGCAGTCACCCCTGGGCCTAGCATTCAAGGCTCTTGACAAGCTGACTCATTCGTGGGTCTTCTACGTGGATGTGGTTTGCGACCTGGCCACACTGGATAAAAGCAACAGCCACTGTTTCTGGAGCTGCCCCTGGAGGTGCACACAGCTGGCAAAGAACAGATCCTGAGCAGCCCTGAAACCCTGACTCTGGCACAGACTAAGCTGCTGTGTGACCTTGGGTAAGTCCCTTCACCTCAGTTTCCTCATCCGTAGAATGGGCACATCCAGGTAGCTACCTGCCACTGTTGGGAAGGTGCAAGGATATGCACGCGGCACGCGTAGCACAGTCTTGATGGTCAACCACCGATGGCTATGTTACCTGATTCTGAAACTTGGCTCTCCGCTTAACTGTCCACGTGACAAGTGACTTAACTTCTCTGGGCCCCAGTTCGACTCTGTAAAATGAGGAAAATACCCTACCCACCACACCACCCATGTACAAGGGCATGAAAGCAGGAGCTTGGTGAATGTTTGGCGGCTGCAGCCAACACCATCTCCCCCAGAAAACCAATTTTCGTTGTCCTTTAATTTTTCAAAAGCAGCCCATCCTAACTTTCCCTTTTCTGAGACTCGTGGAGAAAGAGGGGCCTGCACACTCCTCGCATGGTTGGGCTGTGATATCACGAAAGACAGTCTTGTAAAACCCACACCCAGGGCCTGGGGAAACGCGGGGCCTCGCAGCCCCCTGAAGAGGCTGTAAGCGGAGCCCGCGGCCGCCGGCTGGGTGGGGGAGGCTGGATGTGTCCACCACCATGAGTCAAGCCTGGCTTGGCTGGGGTGTCATCATTCCCCTTTATTTCAGGGGTGAGTTACAGCTTAAACAGCACCTGACGACGCCTAAAAGAAATGTAGTCTGCACAAATGCGTTTCCTTACGCTCTCGGTGTGCAGCCGGGTGTTCAGATATACCGATATCCCAGGAGCTGGCGTTGGGGGCAGGATGAGGGGAGTGTCCAGGGTTTGTATACGGATCAGCAAATACCCTTCAAAGGAGCTGCAATGGCTTGGGCACTGGTAGTCTACTGCCTTCCCAGGCAGAGCTGCCTCTCAGCTGGGAGAATAAAGGATACAGAGGAAGCCCTTCTGGAAGGAGACCAGCTGCGTCCTGTTCCCAGTGTGGCCCCGAGCCACCCTCTAAACCTTTCTGGGCCTATTTCTTCTTTGGTGAAACAGGGAGTTGGACTGGAGAACTTCTTTCCAGCTCTAAAAATACTGTCCAAAGCAGATGAGGCCAGGCTGGAAGGTCCTGTCCTCTGGACTGCCTGAGCCTGTGGCTCTGGGAAGCCATCAGCAGCACCAGGTGAGGTGGCCCACCTGTGCATCCTCAGCCCCAAGTCCTGGACTCGGGGCAGCCCTGGCACCCACCTCTCTGAAGCCAGGAACAGTCCGGTCCACAGACCACGCCCCTACACTCCTTGCCTCCCAGCTTCCACCCTCCGGCTCTTCTCTGCAACCAGAAGGTCCAGTGCTTCTCCTGGCCGCGACTGCTCAGATATCTCAGCCTTCCCCAGACCCCCAGGCTGCCGGGCCAGCCTCCCAAATGACCAGGTCGGGACCAAAAAGGAAGAGGGAACCTGTTTTATCCTGGCAGCACCCTGACCTTGGGCCGAGGGCCTCGCTCATAGCAGACCTGGAAGTATCCCTGAGTGTGTATAGGTTGTGGGTTCAAAGGCCCAGAGAGAAAGCACGAGGTGGACCCCAGGCCCAAAGGCTCTGGGAGGGACCGGGGAGAGGTCCCGTGGCCTGGGTGCGTGGCCAAAGCCAGCATTTCTGGGTGGTGAGGGAGCCTTAGGGCCTGGCCAGCGCCCACCCTGGCAGAGCTGCTGCTGGCAGGCAGCTGCCTGTAGCCTTCTCAGCTGCTGCTGCGGAAACAAATGACGGCACTGATGAAGAATAAGAGAATATGAAAATGAGCACAGAGGGAGGGCGCCTTGGAACGGGGGGCCAGTATTTTTTCTCAGGGTGTGGCTTCTTCTCAGTGGTTGGGTGACCGTGGAGGTTTGGAATGTGGTCCAACAGCAGGTGGGGTGGGGTGGGGGTGCTGGCCAAAGGCAAGGAGCACGGACATTAATCAAGTGGCCCAAAGCCAGGGGCCACCGACAGCTCAGCCAGAACGGGGGCCTGGCGTGGTGTGCAGAGCTGGGCCTGCACCCAACACTAGCACATTGGGCCTGAAAGCTTAGGGTTTTGAGTAGCCCCAGGAAGGGAGACAGAGTTGAGAGAACAAGAGAATCAAGGGGAGAGGGAAGGGGAGAGCCTGGTCAATCTCCTCATCTGCAAAACAGCATGGCCTGCCTGATCCTAACTGAGACTATTTGGGCAAGGGATGTCGTTTCTCTGAGCCTCAGTCTCCTCGTCTGTCGAATGGGCTTAACTATCTCTACCTCCAAGGGTGGTGGTGGGAGGATTAAGTGGGTTAGTGCACGTGAAGCTCTGGGCACAGTGCCCTGCAAGTGGAAGCGATTATCATTCCCTGGGTGCTGAGGAAGCTCTATCCTGGCAGCCACATGCCCAGCACCGAGCCCTGGGCCTGGCCCCCAATAAATATTTGCTGACAGAGTCCCTCTCGGGAGTCGCCATGAGGAGCCCCATGTCCACTACCACTCCCCTCCTGCGAGCGCAGGTCCCAGCTCAGAGCACGAAGTGGAGGGTGTAGGTGAGCTGGTGGCCGTTGTCCCAGGCGTACAGCACGCGCTCCTTGGGGTTGTAGTCGATCTGGGTGGTGTAGGCGTGCTCGTTGAGGAAGGGCAGCTGCGGGCGGGCGTCGGTGCCCGTGTGGGTGTCGAAGGCGTAGGCCACCTGGCCCTCCCGCTGGTTGTAGGTGTCCACGGCGTACAGGATGCCGCACACCAGGAAGCAGTTCCCGTAGGAGTTCCGCCGCAGCCGTGTCTTCCACGTGGTCTCGCGGTGCACGGAGAGGTCGCCGGGGTCCAGGCGGCTCAGCACGATCACCTCGGGCTGGGCCTCGTCGCGGTCATCCACAGCGGGGTAGATGACCCACAGGCCGCTCTCGTCCACGGCGAAGTCGATGTCCGAGTGGCCGCGCCACTTCCAGGGCGTGGTGTCCTCGTACACCACGTCAGGCAGCAGCGCCCAGGACGCCACGAAGCGCTGCCGCAGGTCGTACTTGATGATGTTCTTGGTGAAGGCGCGGTTGTAGTAGAAGGCGCCCTGGTACACCACGTGGCCCGTGCCGATCCAGTTGTAGGGCAGCTTGTACATGTTACTCCAGCGGCCTGAGGGGCGAGGGCGGAGGGTCACGCCCGAGCCTCCCGGACAAACCCCAGCCCACCCCGGGGACCGGCGAGGCCAAGCACAGCTCTCGAGTGGCCCAGCAAGCAGCAGACACTGAGTGTACTATGCACCTGGAGCAGGGCCCGCCATCTTGTCACATCACAAAGGAGGTACTCTTATCATCCCCATTTACCAAGGTGGAAACAGGCTCAGAGGGTTCAAGGTCACCTAGTTATGGAAACGGCACAGCCAGGATTTAGACCCAGGCTGATGCCAGCCCCTGTGCTTTGTCTCAGGGCCTTTGCCCATGCTGTTCCTTCTGTCTGGACTGCCATTCCCCATCCTACCTGCCTAGGGAATGCCTCTTCATCTTTCAGAGCCCTAGGCCAACGTTACCTCCTCCAAGAAGCCTTCCCTGACCTCCCCAGTCTTGAGAGGAGCCAATCCTCTGGTCTCCCATAAGCCTTTGTCTTGGCACTTTTCATTGGCTTCCTCCACACCAGCCTGTGAGCTGCTGGAGGCAATGACCAGGTCAATTTTTTTTTTTGTGAGGAAGATCAGCCCTGAGCTAACATCCGTGCTAATCCTCCTCTTTTTGCTGAGGAAGACCAGCTCTGAGCTAATGTCTATTGCCAATCCTCCTCCTTTTTCTTACCCCCAAAGCCCCAGTAGATAGCTGTATGTCATAGTTGCACATCCTTCTAGTTGCTGTATGTGGGACGCGGCCTCAGCATGGCCAGAGAAGCGGTGCGTCAGTGTGCACCTGGATCTGAACCCGGGCCGCCAGTAGCAGAGCGCACGCACTTAACCGCTAAGCCACGGTGCCGGCCCTGACCAGTTCAGTTTTGGCCCAGCAGTGGAAAGACTCTGGCTGTTCCAGGCCATACCCTGGGACACCACAGCTCTCAGGGTAAGTCCAAACTCTTTCTTCTGCCTCAGCCTACTCTCTCATCACACTCCCCCCACCTCCCTTCTATGCCACCGTGCTTCCTCTCATTGCCAGGCCTTTGCACACGCTGGGCCTTCTGCCTGGAACACCTTTCCCTCGTGCATGGCTTACTCCTGCCCTTCTTCCTGGGATCACCTCCTCTGAGAAGTCTTCTCTGATCTCCAGGCTCGGTTCCTACAGCCCCCTGAGCTCTCCTTCTAATGCTATACTGAGCTCGTTTTTCTAAGCTTTTGCCTCCCACATTAGACTGTGTGTTTCTGGAGAAGGGTCATGTCGAAATGACCCCTTCCCCCAGCATGTCCCAGATCTGATAACCAAAATTCTGCCCTTCCCTGTGCTGAGAGCCCCATCCTGGCCCTTGCCCAGACCTGCAGCTCCTCAAAGGCCTGGGGGCCTGCTCACCTGTAAACAGGGTGATAACCCCCACCTTGTGGAGTCGTAAGGTACCACGAGCTGATGCACACGGGTGATTAGCACAGAAAAGGACTCAACAAGTGGAAACCAAGCCTTATTCCCCCCAACAGCAAGTTACACTCACGAGGGCAGCACCATATCCATCTTGTTGGCTGCTGCAGTCAGCTCCTGGCAAGGTCCTGGCCAGCACACAGGGGTGCCCTCAGATTCCCCTCCTTGGGGTGGCTGACCATTTGGAGCTAGGCCTGGCTGGGGATGTCTAGACTGCAGGAAACCACAAGGCAAGGCGGGCCAAGTGTCCCTGGGGAACCCTCCCCAGGCTGCCCCCACCCTGCCCCCTTCCCATCTCTGGTGTCCCCGACCTTGCTTGAAGTTTTCCAGGTTGCGGAATTCCACCAGGTTGTTTCCGTAGTAGTAGTTGGTGACATAGATCCTGTCATCCTTTGCGGCGGGGTCCTTCATCCAGGCTCCCTCGTGGCGTCCGTAGCTGTGGTGCCTCACAGGGGGGTCCACGGCCCGGAGGGTGCCCTCGCAGCTCCCCTCTCTGCCTGCAGGGAGGGAGGAGCGAAGCATTTGGTACGCAGACCCACAGGCCCCGAGCCAGAGCGATAACCCTGGGAACGTTCTCTGGGTCTAACTTAAATCCTTCCTGATGTTCTGTTTGCAGCCTTTTTTTTTTCTTTCCTCATAATCAAAGCAAAGTCTGATCATTATAGAAAACACAGAACATTCAGAAAAGGAGTATGGAAAAAGTAAAAATCATTCAAAATTCCATTTTCCAAAGAATTTTGAAGCATGCTGTATTTCCTTTTCTTCTTTGCATGTATAGTCATGCAGACATACTTTTAAAAACCATGATTCTTCTGAATATAGAGTTTTAGGTATCCTGTTTTTTCCCTCCACTGAGCAATTTCTCACATCATTAAGTGGCCTTTTAATGGTGTGATTTCAAGGTTCTGCCATGCCACCAGGCAGCTATGCCCTTGAATGGATTTGACTAGTCCACCCGGTGCTAGCCCTTTACATTATTTCCAGTGTTCTGACATTAGAAATAGCCTGTGAGGAAACCAGTTAAGCCGCAGCTGTTTTCCACTTGCTGATTGATCCTTTAGGAACGATTCCTAGAAATGGAATGAATGCACGTGGATCAAAGTAGGGAATGGTTTTAAGGTTTGTTATCACAGGTAGCCAAGATCCTTCCAGAAGGATGGGCTCCATGACTTAATGAGGAAGATGTCTACTAAAAGACACAAGCCAAAACCACAAACACAGACAGACAAACAGGGCCAAAGATCGGACAGAAGAAAGAAAGAAGTAAAAATAGTTGCTAGACTTGATGATGGGATTCTAGGTGACATTTTCAGAAGAATTTGTTGAAAACACTACCTGTTTGACTCTAAATGTCGTCAAACTTTTTCTGTAAAGGATCAGAGAGTAAATATTTTAGGCTTTCGAGACCACATACTTCTGTCCCAGATTCGTTTTTTCTTTTTACAACCCTTTAAAAATGTAAAAACCGTTCTTAGCTTGAGGGCTGTACAAAAACCGGCTGCAGGCTGGATCTGGCCCGCGGGCTATAGTTTGCTGACCACTGAGGCTTACTCACCTTGGCTGGGGACTTCTGGGCGTGAAGGTGGCTCGGTGGACATGGGGCTGGTGGTGGGAGTGGGGGTGGGGGTGGGGTCCGAGGCGGGGGTGCCAGGGGCCAGGTCTGCTCCCTCTGAGGCCCTAGGCCCAGCCTCGTCGTGCTCCGCCGAGTTGGGCTCTGGTGGCCTGCCCTCCACTCTGGGCGGCAGCTGTTCCAGCCAGGAAGTGCCCTTGAGGGCATTGTCTGCAGAGAGAAGACTGAGGCTCACATCCTAGCAGTACTTACTGCTGCCCAGGGTCCTCCCCAGGCCCCCAGGGCTCCCAGCTCTGGGAGGTAGGGAGGGCTTCGTGGTCAGCAGACTGGCTCCAAAGCTCCCAAGTCCCCTGTCTTAGTGGGCCTCAGCCTCCCCTCTGCGAACCGAGAGTCATGAGGCCACCCCGTCAGCCTATTGTGTTGATTAGAGGAAAATGTACATAAAACATGTGCCCAGATCCCGACAAACATGAGGTGCCAAAAACGAGACGCCTTCCCCTCCTAAGCGTCAAATACTTTGTACCAATTCTTTCATTTCCTAGATTCAGTTCCAGGAGGCAGAACCCCTTGCTCCCATTGGACAGACTTTCTCCTAGTCCACCCTCCTGGAGCCCACCCTCTAGTTTCTCTCACCCAAGATTTGCCACCTCAGGCCAGGAGGGGCGGGCACAGCCAGCTGGACCCAGGGCTCTGTCTCTCTCTGTCCCCTCACACTCACATCTCTTGGAATTCTTGGCACCCCCTCCCCCTCTTCTCCCATCCCTGCTGGCAGGGGCTTTGTTGACAGGACTTTTTCCCACATTCCTGTGGGACGTGGTTTGGGGCCATCTCTAGGCCATCCCTGACCCCCACACTTCTCTGGGCTGGCATGGATAGGGTCTGGGTGGGATCCGGGTAGGGAAAGCAGGAAGACTAAACACCACACAGCCGGGGGACAAAGACTCCTCAGCTCCAGAGACAGAGCCGTAAAGGGGTCTAAGGCAGGCTCTGCAGCCCGCTGACCTGGTTTCCAGTCCCCTCTGCCACCAACTCGCTGTGAACCTGGAGCCAGTCGCTTCACCTCTCTGAACTTGTTTCCTCACCTGGATCAAGGGTGACAGCGTGTGTGAAAGTACTCAGAAAACAGCGATGCCAGGGACAAAGGCACGGTGCTCTTGTTACTGTGACGGTGGTCCCCGGGGGATGCCCTGAGACCCCTCGACTGAGGGCTGTTACCCGACCTCTTCCTTTCCTCTCCTGGCTGGGCTTCCCATTTGCACAGGGGTTCCCCAGGCCCTGCTGTGAGGCAGCCCCAGGAGTCCGGGTCCCTGTGGGGTGGGGGCAGACGCTCTGGTCGGACAGCCTCAAAAAGGCCTGGCCTGGGCAGCCTGCCAGGGCAGGGGGCTTGTTCCCACGGGCCTTGCTGGCAGAGGCAGATGCCCGCAGCTGTTCTTGGGCAGTGCCCTGGCCAGGGGTCAGAGGGTTTGTGCAGAAGCCAGGCTAAGCTGGCAGGGATCAGGGCCAGCAGCTGGCACCAAGGCCTTGGGGAAGAGGCCCCTGAGCCCTGAGAGACCAAGAAACTAGGGGGCTCTTGAGGAAGACTGGTCTCTCACAGTTCCACTTCCCAGCCCCCTTGGACACAGGCCGGGCAGAGGGGTCTCACTGGAGGAGGCGATCAGCAGGACCCAGAAGGGGGAGCAGGCTTGGGACACCTCTCCGGGACATCAGAGGGGAGCAGACATCTGGGGAGGGTCTCAGAGGAGGAATCAGGAGCCACACCAGTGGGGATGGCTCAGAAATTTGGGTACTCTTGGAACTTTTGTCTCTTGCTCTCAGTTAATTACTTGTGGCCCTTCACTCTGATCTGGCAGGGAGCTGCAGGGAAAACACAGGAGTCTGCGGGCTCTTCTGCGGGGAGATAAGAAGTGGGAGGTGCTGGAGAGGCCACCCATTCCAAGGATTCGGCCCCTGCGTTCTCCACCCGCCTCCCTCCCCAACCCCTGGGGCAGCTGCCTGGTCATGGGTATGTTTTTTCCCTGTGAAAAAAGACTGTGAGCTCTGTGTTAGGCAGAACCTCTGGGAGATACAGCAAGTGCATAGTGGACCTTCAGCATATCTTTGAATGAAGAAGGGAAAGTCCAGTGAGGGCGGCGACAGTCATAAATACTGGAAAGGAACTGAGTGGCCCTTTGTGTCGGTTATGTCATTGCATCCCCAGCAAGCCCATGAGGGGGTATTAGCCCATTGAGTGGATGTGCAAAGAGCACTAACAGGTGATCAGTGGAGCTGAAGTCTGGGGCAGTCTGACTGTAGAGAAAACCCTGGATCTCTGCAGGGGGTCCTTGGGGTATGGCCATCCATCAGCAAGCCCCCACTCCCCAAGGTTCCAATCCCCCCTCCAACTCACCAGCCACGGCCTCTGTCGCCTCCTTCCTGCCCGCCTTGTAGTAGGTGATGCCTCTGACCACAGCCTGCTGCTGGGCCAGGGCCCTGGGCTTGCCTGTGGGCTGGGGGAATCTGCTCTTGCTGCCTTCCTTCCTCAGCCTCTCCGCCTTCAGCAGCTTCTCCTTAGGAGGTTTTGGGAGGCCCCTGTCTACAAAGCTCTTCTGCACGCTGCCATATTTGTGGGCGTCTTTGCCTTTCCCTCCAGCTGTGTCCTGGGAGACAAGGGAAGTCTCAGACTTGGGGGATAGTAGAAGGGCTATTACAGGGGGTCATGGAGGCTCAGCATGCGGGGGCTGGGGATGGTCATGTTGCTCCAGGCCTGACAGCCCAGGTGCTCATGAAGTCACCACTTTCCTCCCATAGTGGCTACCTCCATGGCTGGGGTGTGCCTCAGTTTCTCCACTCAGCTCTCTAGCTCCCCTGCAGGCTTGAAGCCCAGCCTGATAGTGTAGATTGCTGTCCCATTTCCCAACTTCTGTGCACTCCCCCTGGGGGGTGGACTATAGTGGTCAGCTCCCCTGAGAGGTAGCCGATCACGAGGTCAGCTTCCCATTCCTGTCTCTTTCACTCATTGGTCTCGTGTATGGGCAGGGGAGAGGTTCTCAGGCCCCTAGGCAGGGTGACCAACTGATCCCAGGGTGCCAGAACTTTCCGAGTTTCAGCACTGAAAATTCCACATCCTGGGAAACCACTCAGTCCGGGGCAAACTGGGACGGTTGGTCACCCTACCTCCGGGGCATGCAGTTCCTAACATTTTGTGAATTTTGCTATTTTACTTCCTTTTAAATGCCTCTCATGCTGGCTTGGCACAAGAACATAGGGCCTGTGACATTATCCATTGTTAGGCAGAATCTTTAGGAGATACAGCAAGTACAGTATCTAGACATTCTGTGCCGTTGCCAAAGCAGGATTCACTCGCGCCTGTGGAACTGGCACGGAATGAGCAGGAAGCCAGCAATGGGCCAAGGCACCAGGCTTCCTCCACGTTTTATCAGCATCTAGACGGTTCCAGCTGCAGACACAAATGGCCCCATCATCACCATGGCAGCACAGGAGGCCGAGAGGTGGAGAGGAAGAGTCTGGGCTTGGCAGTGACGCAGACCTGGGTTCCAGTCCGAGCGCAGCCACCCTCCCCACTGTGACCTCCCTTCTCGTTTCCTCATCTGCCAAATGGATAGTGACCATCCCTCCTCACAGGTGGTTATGGGATGAGCTGAGATAATGTCTGTTGAGGAAGTCAACTTGAGAGCAGGGATTCCACAATGTCACCTCCCTCTCTCTGCTCACCGAAAACAACACCGCTGTGGAGAGTGGCGTGGGCTGTGTCCTGCAGGCAGTGACTGGCTGAAGGGGCACGAATGGGGTGAAATCTAATCTGCACTTCATTTGCCAAGCCACACACTCTGGTGTGTGTCTATCATAGGAAGGAGCCTTTGTACAATCTGTCCACCCAAGGGGGCTCTTCTTTCTAATTTATCTGCCCAGAGGGAGAGACTTTCTATAATCTGTCTGCCTAGAAGAGGGCCTTTTTCAAATGTGTACAGAGGTGTGTTATATGCTGTGGGTGGCTCTGCCTGGTGACAAAACCCAGTGGCCCTGCTCACTCTGTGCTCGGAGTTTGACCGTGGAATGTTGGGGCTTGCTGCAGGAATTCTCCACCCCGGGTTGGGTTGGACGAAGTGGCATTAGTCTGTATGGGTCCCCATGGCATTGCCCACCTGCCCCTGAGCAGGCCGGCCCCCGCCAGCGGCCCAGCCATAGCAAGAGAGGATAGAAGATGTTTTGCTGCCCCCGACCTGGTCTCGCAGGGCCAGGCCAGGAGGGTCATCTCTACAACCTTGTCCCCACTAGTTTGGAAACAGGAATGAGAATACTGCCATATGTCCAGCTCAGGGAACAGACCCCTCGTCCGCCCCCAGCTCACAGCACAGCAGGCACCCAACCCTCACCCTGCCAGGGACTCTCTGCTGTGCCAGCCCTCAGCCCTGTCCTACAGCCCCAAACTCCCATTCACCTGGCCCTCAGGGCTGAAGTCCTGGCACACTGTGCTCCCAAGCCCACTCACCTTCTGGCCCCACAATCAGAGCCATGGCCTCACCTGAGCCTTGCTAGCAGGGCCAGTGGCCGGGGCGGCGGCAGGGGCTGAGGCTGCGTCCTTCTGCAGCAGCTGGAGGCCCAGGCTGGAGAGCTCCTTCTTGATGCTCATCATGATGGCCGAGTGGTTCTCGTAGTGCTTCAGCTGCTCGCTGACGTGGCGCATGCTCTCCCTCACCACCTCGTTCTCCCGGCTCAGGTTGGCTTTGATGCTCTGTGGGGGCGGGACCCGAGGTCTCTAGCCTCCTCTGACTGCCGCCCCCCCCCGGCCTGCGGGGGACACCCCAGCTTCTGCCAACAGGCTTTGCTGCCCAGTCTCCTAAGCAGGGCACAGGGGTAGGGGTGGGGGCGGCACCACCGAGCATGGGTGGAAATAAAGCACGCTGCTAAGAAACCCTATTAAATTTTCATTTAAAAAGTGAATGAATGAAAAAATAGATAATATGTCCAAAGTACTAAATTAAAAAGGTATAAATGGGTATAAAAATGTCTCCCTCCCACCTTTGTTTCTCAGTGCCAACAACTGTTAGGGTTTCTATTTTTTTTTTTTTTTTAACACTTTGTTTTTTCACATGAGCCTACTTTGGGAACTCTTCCGTCTCTGTGTATATAGCACTCCCCATTCCGTTTACCGGCTACACGGTAGGCCACTGGATGCCCGGGCCATAAGGTATTCAGCCAGTCCCTATGGATCCACCATTTAAGTCGCTACCAATCTTTTGCTACTTTAAAATTACCTTTTAATTTCACAAGTAATACACAAACACATAAATAACTTCTTTTTATAAAATACTCAAACAATGCAGCTCTCTGGGGTTTTGCTGTGGGTGAGTCTGATCCCTCTCAGTCACCCAGTCTCCGACTTCTCTTCCTGCGGTGTTGGCTCCTCGCGCAGCACCGAGCCCGGCCTTTACTCCCGGTCTTGTTCTCCTGCCCTGCCTGTCTCTTCCTTGCTGGGGCCCTGCCTGGCTTTAGCACCCCCGGTGACCCCACCATCCCCCCTATCTACCCTTGGTTCTGAATCCTGCTGGGAACAGATGGACTGCTCAGAACCACCATCCTCTCTGTGGATCCTCTGTCCCAGGGATCCCCACGCTGGGCTGTTGCCCTGGATGGCCTCAGCCACTGGGCAGGACTCAGGAAACTAGGTATCAGCCTCAGGTCCCCAAAGCCCCAGCAGGTCTGGGGTGTGTGTGGAATTCCTTTAACTAAGTCTACTTCTCAGCTGAAGCAGGAGAGACTAGAGTCAGATGCAGGAAGCACCTCTTTCCCGTGGAGCCCTGGTGCATCAGAATTATGAGTTCAGAATTTCCCTGATAGAAATTTTTACAGAGGAGAAGATAACCTAAGAGTGATTCATGTCCGTTCAGCCCTGGGTATAAACAGATTCGGGGACCAAGAGGCAGCAAGGCAGGAATCGGACAGAGCTGGGTTCAAATCCTTGCCCTCTATTTCCTGGCTGGGTAAACTCGAGCTAGTGAATTCACCTCTCTGAGCCTCAGTTTCTCTGCCTGTAAAATGAAGATCTTTATCATAATCACAACTAAACGTGAGAGTTAGTGTGGGGACCAGAAAGACTAGGGAACGAGACAGTGCCCTCTAAACTAGATCACAGGGAAGACGGAAGTCAAACCGTATAAGGCAGGTTTCTCAACCTCAGCACTACTGACATTTCTCAGATGGCTGTGCGTTGTGGGGCTGTCCTGTGCATTGTAGGATGTGTAGCCGTATCCCCAGCCTCTACCCACAAGAAGCCAATAGCATCCACCGCCCCCTCCCCCAAGTTGTGACAACCAAAAATGTCTCCAGATATTGCCAACTGTCCCCTGGGGAGCAAAACTGCCCCTGGTTGAGAACCACTGGTGTAAGGGAAGAGAGCAGAGGGAAGCTGGGACCCCACATTGCTGCCTGACCCCCTGGGATGTTTTTCCCTTGGGCAGAGGGAGCCAGCTCCCCCCGAGTGTGGCTGGTCGCTCCACCTCCTCCCAGGGTTAGCAAAAAGCTTTTTTGTTTTTTTCATAGTTATCACTTAGCAAACAGAAGCAAAGCACAGATAATGCAAAACAGAAGACAATTAAAAAATCATTCCTTTGTTGCTGCAGAAATCATTTCTGATTTGTTCCAGGCCCAGCAGACGTACCCTCCAGATCGTCTGGCTCATAGTTACATGAAGTGAGTTAAGATTTCCTGAGATGACAAGAGGAAGGCTCAAAGGAGGATAACTGTGGAGCTGGCAATAGGAAAGCCTGGCGTGGACCAGGTGCAGAGGAAATACTGGTGCACAGTGGAAACTCAACAACTGTTACCTTTCTCCCATGCTGGCATGGGCCTGGCACACAGAAGATGCTCACCAAATGCTTTTTGAACAATTAAAGCCACTGTGACCCCAACTTTGGGGATACTAAGGGGTTAATCTCCCACCCTGGGGCACAGGATGGCCAGGTGCCCCCTCTCTCTGGAAAGGAAGCTGAGAAAGGAAGCCCCCACGCCCGCTCCTGGCAGCTGCATGTCTGCAGGCTCCCAGCAGCCCAGCGGGGGCCGGATGCAGGAAACAGGCGGAGGCCAGGCTATGCCAGCAGAGATGCAAACCTTGAACCTGCAGCCTGGACCCCCACGCTTGCCCAACTCTGTCCCTATCTTCAGGGGGCAGTCCCGGCTGCCTGCCTAGCTCTCCAGCACATTCGCCTTGACCAGGAGAAGATGCTCAGCCCCTCTGCCTCCACTGCAGGGGGTACTGGGCCAGCCACGCTGCCTCACGCCTGGCCCCAGGGGGCTTGGCCAGCCAGCCCCGCACCACCCTAGAGGGGCACCCCTCACGTGATATTTATGTGAATGGTGGCCCTGGAGTTGCACAACGTGTGTGTCCTGGTCTTGGTGAACTGAGGGTTCCAGCCCCCTCTACACCCCTTTCATACAACCAGCAAGTGCCTCAGTTTCTCCACGCAGCCTTCCAGCTTCCTGCAGACCTTTAAGCCCCATTCAGACCTCTTCCCCAAAATCTGAACGTGTGGCTTGCATTGCCCTCTCTCAGCTCCCTGCTAGAGTCCCGCTTTCAACGGCCACCAGGGTCCAGACAGCATTGCCCGGGCCCCTTCGGACACTGCCCTTGGCCCCGGGCACTGTACCAGCCTGGCCTCTGGCTTGAGCCCCGCCCTCACCTCTTCCAGCGTGTTCATCTGGGAGGCCACCTTGTGGACGTAGGCGTGCACTTTCATCAGGTCCATGCTGTACAAGGCGCCCTCCAGGAGATCCACCATGGACTGCAGCTGCCAGGGAAGGCAGACGGTCAGGGAAAGGGCAGAGCACAGGGCAAGGCACGAAGGGTGTAAGAGGAGCCCCACCACGGGACCCCAGAACCCCAGGGCCTCAGAGCAGCCTGTTTGGGCCCTCAGCGCCCACTAGACCCAGCCTGCTAATAATCACAAGGAAAGTGACAGACTCCATCTCTTGCACTTACCATGTGGCAGGCCCTGTGCCACGGCCTTGCACGAGCCATTCCACTTAACCCTCACAACAATCTGGGCAGTGGACACGGAAGGAGTTCCATCCCCATCCCCTGGGATCCCTCCTCCTGTCTCGTGCCCATTCTGGCTTCCACGTGCCTCCCTTTTAACAGCCTGCACCTGAGACTCTCTTCCAAAAGCCGCTTTGTCCCCCAAAGTGCCTGGGAGTGTATGTCCCCCTGGTGCAGCCCTTCGGCAATGCCTGACTGGGGTGGGCATCTATAAGCCCAGCTCTCTAGCCCCAGTGGGGATAACTGAGCTGTTATTCCACACCAGCATCCCCCTGAGGCTGGCACTCAGCCTGAGACCACACCCCTGCTGGACTTCCTTCCCTTCCCGCCTCTCACCTCTCCCCTTTGGTACGTTTCTCCTGGGAGTGCTTTCATAAGAAATCGCCTGCACATGAGTCACTCGCCTCAGGGTCTGCTTCTAGGGCCCCAACGGAAGACAAGGTCTGGACGACTGTCATCTTCCTCTTACAGACTGGGAAGCTGCAGCTCAGAGAGGTGAAGTGACTTGCCCAAGGCCACCCAGCTGTTAAATCGTGGAGCCAGGAGCAGAACCCAGATTGGTATAAACTAAAACCTCTTTCCTATCATGCTTGAATGCTCCTTCTTGTGTTCAGATGGGGAAACTGAGGCCACGAGACGGGGAGGAGCTTGCACAACAGGTCAGTGGCAGATGCCCAGCCCTGGGCTCTTCCCTGCAGCCACCCCTCCCCTTCTCCTGTCTGTCACACCTCATCAGGATATGACACTGTCCTCCAGATGGCCAAGATGCCAGAAAGAGTGTCAGGGAAAGCTTGGCACAAGGGGCCGGTTGGGAAATCAGCTTCCCCTGGCTTCTCGGGAAGGGCAGGTCCTCCGCCCACCCGCCTGGTGGCCCCAGTCCGAGCCCGGCGGCACTTCTCAGAGCCTGAGCAGGCCAGCGCTCCCATCTGGCCCTGGCCAGCTGCTTCCAAAACAGTTCTACTCCCACTGTCGCAGGGTGTTCAAGTTGTCTGAAGCCAGAGAGCTTTTCTCTGAGTAGACTCTGATCTCTAAAACAAAAAAAGGGAGGGGAGGGCTCTGATGGAAGCAGGGGTAGGACCTCGAGTCTTGTCTGCTCCCCTACAACCTCGCTCAGGCCCTGAGGGGTTGCACAGTACCCCTAGGGCGCTGTGGAGCACAGTTTGAGAACCATGCACATAGACTCGTCCGTGCTGCAGCTTCCTTCTCTGTGAAACGAGGCAACAGACAGCTGGTGGGGGCAGCCATGTCTGGACAGGGCTCAGCACAGAGTGGGCACGCAGCAAGGACTGCACGAATATTGGCAATAACGACAGCTATTCCAGGGGACTAAACTGGAACCTCCCAGCTTCACTCTGCTGCCTTTATGGCCACCAAAACTGCGTTCCCAAAGCACAGCTGTGACTGGGTCTCTCTCCTGCTAATAACTGGACATGGCTCCCCACTTTCCCTGCGTGCCTTCTCATCCCCCGAGCCTGGCATTCGAGCCCTCCCTGATCTGCCCCTGCCACCACTGTAAGCCTCAGCAAATGTTTAGTCTGGGCCAGACACTAAGGACAGTGACGAGCAAGACAGACACACGCCTGCATGGTCCCTCACAGGCTGTCAAGGAACACAGTCATACACAGGTGCCCAGAGCAGAGAACAGACGGTAACACACAGGAGCCCAGATCATTCATGACGGGGCCCTGACCTTGTCTGGGAGTGGATGAGGATTAGGAAAGTCTGCCAGGAGGAAGTTTTATATGAGCTGAGCTCTGAAGGAGCAGCACCAATCAGGCAAAGATGACAGAAGGAAATTCCAGGCAAAGTGAACAGCTTGTGCAAAGAGCTGGGGGTAAGAAGGAACATAGTGTGTTCGAGCCACACTACTCAAAGTGTGGTCTGCAGACCAGTACTGGTCCACACTGCTTGTTACTAGTCTGTGATAAAATAATCACAAAAAGTGAGAGTATGCTTTTATAAATTTTTAGAGCCATTTGACAGGGCAATTTTATATCTGGGGACTCTGATAACAGAAGACTGGACTTTTATTTTGCATTTCTGTTTTTGTTTCGTTTTTCTAATCATTCATTTTTATAGTATTTTACGACAGTATTGTTTCTTGACAGATTTTTAAAAAACTGGTCTTTCATCACAGATAGTTTGAGAAGTATTGTGTTAGAGGAACTGACAGGCAGCTAGCAGGGCTGGAACAGAGAGAGGGCAGGGAGGCATCCTGTGCCACACCCACTCCACGTGTTCTCACCCAGAATGCCCTCATTCGGCTCTGCCTGAGGGACTCCTACACATCCCTCAAAGCCCAGTTCTAATGTCATCTCTTCCTCTGGGTTCCCACAGGCCCTGGGACATCCCTCAGCTCTTAGGATGTCAATGAGGCAGACTATCTTCTCTTCCCCCTTCAACCCCCGCCGCCGGGTCAATCCTACCACCACCCCACTCCAGTCCTATAATGCTGAGTGAAAACCCTCATGGCTGCTGTGCACCAAAAAAGCTTAAGGGACAACGGGCTCCCGGCTGAGAGAATTGCCTAGTGACCCCTCCAGTGGGCAAGGGCACACAGCAGAGAATTCCTGGGTTCAAGTCTTAGTGGTGCCAATTTCTTGCTGTGTGATCTTAGGCAAGTCACCATCCCCCTCTGGACCTCAGATTCCCCCACAAAAAGCTAGGATGATAAGTTCCCTCTCCAAAGGCTTGTGGCAAAGATTCAGCTAGCCAGTGTTTATGAAAAGGTTTTGTGTAGGCTGATGTCAAGTATGCTTACAATTGAGTTACTGAGAAGTGGACTGAAGCAGAAGTTGCTTTGTCCCTGTAACTGAAGCCTGGCCTACGGCCTCAGTGCCTGGAGTCTGCAGGGCCCGAGGGAGGCCACAGAGGGACAGTGTGGTCCAGGGACTGCCGAGGGTCAGGAGGCCACTTGGCCTAAAATTCAACACCCCCCCAACTTCGGGAGTTTTGGTTTCCATTTAGTTGTTACAAAAATAAAACTAAAGTTAAATTTAAAGAAAACATTTTTAGCTAAATGTCGTGAGACAATTCTTGATGAGTCTCTTGCTTTTCTGAGTGTCTCGCGTGCAGAGGCGGTGACTGTCCAGGCCATCTTGTTGTATGTGAACAGCCTTGGACCAGAGACAGCATTTCCCCCAGGAGCAAGAAAGGCATGCTCAGTGTCCATTATAAAGAGTGGGCATGCTCGGTGTCCATTATAAAAGATTTGGATTCTCCAAGTTGGGGCTCCTTTGTTGAAAAACACCCCAGTGTGTGTGCAGGTGTTATCCACCCTCACTACATCACCCTGTGGGAACTGGAGCTGGGAGACCAGTGCAAGGAAGTGCAGACACTCTGGCCGCCGTGAGTACTTGAGTCCTTCGTCTCTCTGGCTTGCGTCTTCTGCCAGCATCCAGAAGCCGGCAGGCTAGCTTGTTAGCTTACAAGTAGGGTAACATCTCAGTTGACTTCACAGTTCTTGATACCAGAAAGGCAAAAGAGACACTCAGATGTTCGGAAGAAATTATAAAAGAAAAAGATACTCTCAAAAGACACCAAATAATCTGGTCCTTTACAAAAAGGAAGACACGAGAGCAAGGTGGTTTAGAACACATGCTTTGGGGCCGGCCCCGTGGCTTAGTGGTTAAGTGCGTGCGCTCCGCTGCTGGCGGCCCGGGTTTGGATCCCGGGTGCGCACCGAGGCACCACTCCTCCAGCCATGCTGAGGCCGTGTCCCACATACAGCAACTAGAAGGATGTGCAGCTATGACAGACAACTATGTACTGGGGCTTTGGGGGAAAAATAAATAAATAAAATCTTTAAAAAAAAAAAAAAAAAAAAAAAAGAACACATGCTTTGGACACAGCAGGACCTGGGTTCAAATCCCAGCACCCCCAGGCGCACCAAGCACCAAGCAGAGCACGGTCTGAATGGCAGAAAGGTGCCTGGCTGGCCGTGGGGACTGAAATGGCACATGCCTATCTGAGCCATGGGTCCCAGCAGTGGGCCCTGGCATGGGGCTGTGACCCCAGAGATGGTGCTTCTTTCTAATCTGCCTATGGGGGAGGGTAGGCACAAAAGTCACATAAAAGTATGGTACAGGCTTGAGGCTACAAATCGTTAAGTGAGAGCTTGGGCCAGTTACCTAAATTCTCCAAAATCAGTTTTCTTGCCTATAAAACGAGGACAAAGATCCCATATTTCACAGAATGGTTTAAGAATTTATAGAAATAACATGTAAAAAGAGCTTAGCACAACATCTGGCATGCAGGTGGTACTTGCATATCGGAAATGTTATTATTAACATTAAAAGCAATACAAGCCACAGAATTTAAAATTTAAAATACTCTATAGAGGTGCTGAGAGATGAACTGGTTTGGGTAAAATGCCGGACACTGGAATAGATAAGGGGCCATATTCAGGTAAACTAGCCAGAGAATGCTGCCTCCACCACTTACTGGTGTAATGGTCTGGGGCAAGAAGTGGCTTCCCCTCAGGGAGCCTCTGTTTCCTCATCTGTGAAATGGGAGGATAAGAGCGCCTGCCTTAGCGTGTGTGGACTCTTCACGGGAAGGACGGCCTGGCCCAGCCCATGCTGGATACCCACCCAGGAGGTGTTCCCATCCCCACTCTCACTCCAGGAGCCTACCTTGAGGAGCTCGGGTGCCTGTTTCTTGAGTTTCTCCATCTTCCACTCGTTCTCGCAGGGGTTGAGCGAGGAGGGTGGCGCGGTGCAGGAGCAGCGGCAGTCGGTCCCCGAGCTCACCGTCTCCACGGTGTAGAAGTCCTCCACCCGCGCGCGCCCGCTGCGCACCCGGCCGCACGCGTCCTTGCTCAGCGGCCGCATGATACACTTGCAGCGGCAGTCGGAGCCCTCCGAGGTCATCCGCACCTGGTCCATGTCGCCGAACACCTGCGAGAGGGGCTCCGATGAGCCCAAGGCCAGTGCTGGTGGAGGGCCGGGGGCGAGGAGGGGGGCAGAATCCAGGAGCAGAATCCAGCCCCCCAGCCTTTAGGCGGTGGTGGTTAGAGGTGGCTGAGAAGTTAGCAGCCCTTACAAGGAAATATAGGCCTAACAATCATAACAATAATAAAAATATTAATGCCTGCTGAGAAAAACAGTTTGGCTGTTCCTCAATAAGTTAAACACAGAATTACCACATGACCCAATCATTCTACTCTTAGTTATATACCCCCCAAAATTGAGAACAAGTATTCAAAGACTTGTACATGAATGTTCACAGCACGATTCACAATAGCCACAAGGTGGAACCAACCCAAATGTCCATCAGCTGATGAATGGATAAATATGGGTATATGTGGTATACCCATACAATGGAATATTATTCAGCCATCAAAAGAAATGAAGTACTGGGGCCGGCCCTGTGGCTTAGCGGTTAAGTGAGCGCGCTCCGCTACTGGCGGCCCGGGTTCGGATCCCGGGTGCGCACCAACGCACCGCTTCTCCGGCCATGCTGAGGCCACGTCCCACATACAGCAACTAGAAGGATGTGCAGCTATGACATACAACTATCTACTGGGGCTTTGGGGGAAAAATAAATAAATAAAATTATTAAAAAAAAACATGAAGTACTGACACACGCTACAATGTAGATGAACCTTGAAAACATTGTGCTAAATGAAAGAAGCCAGACACAAAAGGCCTCATGTTATATGATTCCATTTATAGTAATATCCAGAATAGGCAAATCTATAGAGACAGAAAGCAGATTAGTGGATGCCAGGGTTTAGAGGGAGGGGGAAATGGGGAGCAACTGCTTAATGGGTTCTTTTGCAGTGATGAAAATGTTCTGGAATTAGGTAGTGGTGATGGTTGCACAACATTGTGAATGTACTCAATGCCACTGAATTGTACACTTTGGTTAAAATGGTAAATTTTATGTTATGTGTATTTTACCACAATAGTAAAAAAAAAAAAAAAATATGGAGACCTTTTATTGAGCACTTACTACATCCCAGGTTTCACATGCATCACACTCTTTAATAATACCTGTGTATGGGGAGGGGGTATTGTTACCTCCACAGTCCTTACGTGGCCTTCAAGGCCTGTGTGAGCTGACTCCCTCCCTTCGACCCCTCCTCTGGTCACCGTTTCCTTCCTTGGGCTCACTCCACTCCAGCCTCAAGGCCTTTGCAGATGAGGTGCTCTTATTCTGAAACTCTTATCTCGCTTATTCCCTTGGTTCATTCCCTTACATTACTTACACATCACCTCCTCCAAGAAGCTTCCCTGACCACCCACCTCCCATTACTCTGTGTCCTCTTAGCTAGCGGTTCATTTTTCTTGATTGCACCTATTACCATCTCAAGCATTATATCTGTGTTTACTTCTTTTTTGTCTCCCTTCTCTACTGAAGGTACCATGAGAGGCAGGCACCCTGTCCAGTTCCCTCCTGTATCCCCAAAACAGTGCCTGCCTGGCCCCTGGCAGGTGATGGATAAATGAGCCTGCGTTTTGCAGACATGCTAGAGCACAGGGCGAGGAGAATGGTGTCCAGAGCCTGGGTTAGGAGCTGTGAGGCTGTGGACAACTCAATCCTTCTGTGCCTCTGTTTCCTCATTTGTAAAATGGTCTCCTGCCTCGTGGGGTTGTTGTGCAGATTAAATGAGTTAAAGAACAGGGCCTAGCGCATAGTGAGTGTGTCTTAAGTGCGAGCTGTTATTAAACAGATAAAGAAACAGAGAGGTGAAGTCACATGTCCAAGGTCACATAGCTCTGACGTGTAAGATCCAGCTTTGGACCTGACTCCAGATTGAAATCACTGCTCTATGCTGCTTCTCCTACAGCCCTGTTCCCCCACACTCTGGGTGACTTCAAACAGGTTACATAACCTCTCTGAGCCTCGGACCGTCAGTGGTACAATGGATGACTCTCCTAACCCGGCCTCCTGGTGGTGAGGATCAAATGTGATAAGATGACCTCTATTTAGTGGTTTCCCTCCCTCTCCCCGTTTTCCTTCAATCCCACCCTGGGATACCACATACCCAGAGTCCAGGTGTGGTCACTGGAGGCAGCAGGACTTGATGCCCCCAGGAGTCAGCCCAGTGAGATCAGTGGCAGGTGCTAGCCTCAGTCACTGCCTCCAGCCTCCTTGTCCTGACACACTGGCTGGGCTCTGGGAGCCCCAAATGGCCACTCCCCTAGCTGGCTCAGCCAGCCCACCCTGGGCGCCAGGCTCTTGGGACACAGCTATTCATGGCTCAATCAACAAACACCCCCCGCCTCATAGCTACTCAGCTCTCACCAAAGCCACCAGGACCCAAGTGAGTTCATGGCTCCCTTGGGCTTTCTGCCAAGCCCATCACCCGTGAGAGTCCCAGGGCCCTCTGGGGAAGGGCTATAGGCACTCCATTTCAGCTCTGAGTCCTCAGACACCCGTTTGAGCCCCTGGCTTCTACCAGACCCCAGATTTTAGCTGGAGATGCAGAAGAAATAAATCGAGGTACATTCTCGACCTTTTCAACCACAGGACAAACTGGCATAGCGAGCTCTCAGAGCACAGAGAAGGACACCCATGAAGACTGCTTGGAGGAGGGCACCCCTGGGGGACATCTTTAAGGAGGAGAAGAGCACTCTAGGGAGAGCAAATCAGACATGTAAAGACAAGGAAGGGCCTGCACTTTGGGGGCCTGGAGGAGGGTCACTCTGGCTGGTGTTTGCAGGGAGCCGGAGGGGCAGGAGGTAAGGCTGGGGGGACCAGAGCCCAGCTCCGGGAGGTCCCTGAAAGCTGGGTGAGGATCTTGGCTTCCTCCTGAAAACACTGGGGAGTCATGGAAGGGTTTTAAGCAGGGGAGAGCCAGGGTCAGATCTGCATTGTGGGAAGCTCACTTAGGCTGCTTTGTGGACAGACAGTGGATGGAGGAGGCCAGCCTGGGGCACAGAGCCCAGGGAGGAGACATTTATTGAGAACTCACTGTGTGGGGCAGTGGTTAGGAACACAGCCATGATCCACCTACAGCTGTGTGCTCTTGGGTAGATTACTTAACCTCTCTGTGCCTCAGTTTCCTCACCTGTAAAATGAGGGCACTACTAGTGCCTACCCAACAAAGGACTGTGTGAGGACTGAGAGATGGAATACCAGGAGTCTGCTCAGTCCGGTGCCAGGAGCACACACAGTAGTCTGTATATTGTAGCTGTTATTATTACCACCAATCATCCTAAAAGGGGGTTGTTTATATCCATTTGTTTCTCCACGTGAGTGCACTGTAGATATTCTTAGCAGTGTCCCACCGATGAGGAAACTGAGCCCTGGAGCCATCAGATGACTTGTTCAAGGGGACTAGAGCCCAGGGTGGGTGGACTTCCAGCTCCGGGGGATGAGGAGGGTGGGGATGGGGGCGGCTGTGGGTGGAAGCTTTGTCTGGGCCCTCTGTGGGGCAGTTCTCCCCTGCTGGGAACGCTGACAGCCAGCCTCGGGGTCCTGCACATTCCTTAGATCACGGCCAGTGCCCCATGCAGGCCTTTCTTCCAGACTCCCAGGCCCCCTTCCCGGCTCTGCAGGGGACCCCTAGCCAACCACCACCCCCCCAACTTGCCCAGGTGGGGCTAAGAGCCTGGGGGGTGGTTGTGGTTGTGTTCTGTGTGGCCAGGCCAGGGAGGCCTCCTCCTCGGGCCCCACCCATAATCCCCAGCAGCAGCCTCCGCATACGACTGCAACATTCCTTCCCTCCTTAGATGAGGTGCTATGTCCTGTTGGCGGCGGCCAAGGCCCTGACATGGCCAGGAGTCGGAAGAGGGCCTCTGCTCACAGCCCCAGCTGCTGGGAGCCCAGGCAGGGCCCTATGTCCTGTGATGACTCCGTCCCGTGGTGCTTGATTGGAGGCAGCAGAACACCGTGGTGGGGAGCCAGCCCAGGCTCAAATCTCAGCTCACATCCCCTCCCTGCATGGCCTTGACCCCTCTGAGCCTCAGTTTCCTTCTTTGTAAAATGGGGAGGATAACAGGCTTGTCCTGAGGCTGAAATGAGTCAATGCATGCAAAGTACCTGGCACAGAATAACTACTCTCTAAGTGTACTTGCCTTTAAAGTCGCTGCCAACAACCCTCTCTCACATTTGCACGTCATTTTCAACCTTTATTTGCTCTCACCACAACCCCATCTTAGAGAGGAGAAATCTGAGCATCAGAGAAGACTAGCAGCGTGACTCCAAAATTTGGTTTATATGCTGTTCCTCCCATGACCGCCCATAGTCACCGAGCAAGCACTTCTCCACCAGCAGCTGAGCTGGGATAGAGACGGGGCCCTGGGTTGGGCCATGGGACATGGGGCTCCCACTGGGCCTGCCCCAACCTGCCCTTGGCATGAGTGCTGGAGTTGCTGCCAAGCAGGAAAGTCCCTGCCTTAGCCCCCCACCTCTCCCTGCAGCCTTGCTCAGCACACTGCTGCCAAAGCCCCCAGAAGTGTGGGCGGTTTGTGCTTAAAAAGGTCCTTAAGTATTTGCAAGGAAATCCCACAAAGAGATGTGAGAGGGTGTACTTGAGATTTTTCTGAAGAGTGATGGATAAATCTGGCCAGAAAGGGGAGAGGGGGCTCAAGCTGGGAAATGTTCTAGCAACGGAACAGGTTCAAATTGTGTCCCCTTGAGGTTGAGTCCCTCCTCTTCCCTCATGGCCAGCCCAGACTCACGGAGAGGCAGTTTCCACATCCTCCTGCAGGCAAAGACCACCCCTAGAGCCCACTCCCAGCTGGACACCGCCCCCGGGATGCCCACAGGCCTCCCAAACTTAATCCATCCAAAACTGGACCCAGCATCTTCTCCCAAACCTGTGTCTACCTACCCTACCAACCCAGGTCTCTGAGCCTCCTTCTTGCTCTGGACAACCCATCAGTCATGTTGTTCTGATTCTTCATCCTAAATATCTCCCATATCTGTCCCTTGCTCTCTACTCCATGGCCACAGCCTGAGTTCAGCCACATTAACTGCTACCTGGATGATACAGCAGCCTCCTCTCTGCCAGATTAATCTTCCAAAAGCTCCTCTTTGATGATCTGTTACTCGCTTGCTCCACAAACCTCCATGAGTCCTCAACTGAAGGACGTGCCTCAGATTTACCTGGATGCACTTGGAAAATGCAGATGCCCTGGCCTTACTCCACACTGCTGGACTCCGACTTTCTCAGGCTCCCAGGCCCTTTGGATGCTCACTGAAGGCGGAGAATTCTGGAACCCCAGGATTCTCTGAACTCCTCAAGCTCTCTAAGATATTTGAGCGGCCTCAACCTGACTCTTTTGACCCTTAATATTAAAGTCTGTCAAATGGGGAGGTAGCACTGAGGTCTGAGTGTTGGCAGGAGGGTCATGTAAGATCCTGAATGTAAGTGCTGGGCACGGGGCTTGGCACACAGGATGCTCCTCAGGGCTTTATCCTGGGTGCCCCAGCCAAATGGGGCAAGACCGTCCCTGCAGAGAGACTGTGTGGGGCCTGGCCTGGCCCCCACTTTGTGTGCAGAAGGAGGCCTCCATCACTGTGTAGCCCTTACTGCTCCGGAGCCTGTTTCCAATTACAACCACAGGCGGAAACTCCCCTAGCGGAGGAGCAGTAACACCTAACCCCCTGGGACCCGCCTGGCACACCACCCCCTGCTTGCTCCAGCCTCTCCTGCTCCCCTGGCCCAGCTCCCACAGGCCTGGGCCTTCCCTCTGTCCTTGGGCCCCAGGCCAGCGGCAGGGCTGACCAAAGATCCCCTTCTCATGCTGGATGCACAGAGGAAGTGAGGCGCCAGCAGCCCTTTCACAGATGGGGAAACTGAGGTAGAGATGGGGAATTCTTAGCCACATTCCAAGGACACACAGCCATAAGCAGGTTCCCAGAGGTCTCTGGTGCCATGCCTGAGTGGTTACCTGTCTGTCCATCCCAACCTCCACACTGGCCAGCCCCTCCAAAATGCCCGGGAAGCTGTGAATTCCCTCTCCTGCTCCCATGCTGGACAAAGCACTTCCTTAGATGGAAACTCCAAATCCTGTTTCAGAGAGACCTTGCTATAAACACGAAAACACGCTGAGCGAGGAGCTGGCTGAGATCACAGAATTCTGCGGTGAGTACTGGGGTTGAGCTGCCCCTGTACCCCCAAAAGTACTGGGCAGGAGGGGAGCCTGGACCTCCCAAGAGCAGGAAGCCTGAGGAGAGGCCAACCAAACCCTTTAGGGCCCTAGATAGACTTCAAGTCCCAGGCTGGCCCTCCTAAGGGCTCCCCCCTAGAAAACAGGACAGACTTGGAGAGGAAAGAGGATTGTTATGGGGGAGGGAGAGGGTGATAATGAAAACAGCTCTCTACTGAGCCAGCAGGAGTCTGGCTGTGCTGAGGAATGCGGAGTAAATTCACCCATCACTTGATTTTTATTTTTCCCAGCTGGCTGAAATGGTGTGGGGTGGGAGGTGTCTGGGGGAGGGCTGTGCTGGGTCCCCCAGCTGCTTCGTCCTCCAAACTCGAGGATGCTCCTCCTCACCCCACCAGCCCCAGCTTGCCCTGGAACAACTAAACACACACACACACCCCCAACCTAGCAAGTGTTTGGCTGACTCACTACATAAACAGAGTGTTGGCTTTTCTTTGTCTTTGCTTTGTTTTGAATGCGAGCCCTCTGCCACCAGCTCTATAGCCCTCCGCATGGCTCAGGGGATGCCCAAGACCAAACATTCCTCACAGCCAGAGAGATGAGAGGTGGCAAAATACTGATCAGGTTACATGGGGGTTTTTGCATACTTGTTCCCCTACCTGAGCCAGGTCAGGGAATCCTAGAAGGCCCTATATAGAAGGGAAGTTGGGGAGATATTCATTTTTCAGATGGGGGAATTTAGGCCCAAAGACAGGCAGTGACTGGCCCAAGGTCACACAGCCAAAGAACAACAAAGGGCCAGAACCTAGGCCAGCTGCCTCTCTATACACCCTAGTTTCCCCACCTGTAAAATGGGAATGATCCTCATTTCCCTCCTTGTCTTTGGAGCACATGGGCAGGACTGCAGCTCACTTGTTTTCATACCCTGAGCTGAATCTTCAGGCTGAGAATCTGCCAGTGCCCACTGCTCATAAACTTACCGCCTGGCTAGTGGCTTCTGCCCATTACCTCCCTGTGGACAGGGCAGCCTCATCTACCCGGCAAAGAGGCTGGAGAGACATCAAGAGAAGTCACTCCTTGGTTCTCATTCTCTGTGAGCAGGGCCCTCCCTCCCTCCTGCCCCTCACTCACCCCCAGACCCATCCTCATCCTCACTGGGTCATTTCCAGAACACCCTCAAGGGATCCCTGCTCTGACTGACCCTAAGTGCTTGCTCTCCCTCCATTCTGGATCTCACCCCCTTTTGGGTGTCCCTATGGTAAGATTTCATAATCACAGTATCATTTATTGGGCACCTACTAGGTGCCAGGTGAGGTACTAAGCATTTTACAGGCATGATCTCACTAATCTAGGGCTCATCGACTGCAGGGAGTGGGAACTATTATTACCCCAGATTTACAAGTGAGGAAATGGAGGCTCAGAGAGGTAAGGGCCCAAGGTCACGGAGCTGAGAGGTACAGGTGGGATTTGAACCCAAGTCGGCTTGACACCAGAGCAGATCCTTTTAGCCACCACTGAGAACAGCTCAGGTCACTTCTGGAGACATGGGGTGCTCCAGAGGGTGCATCAGATCCCTGGCAGGAGCGCCAGAGGTCAGGCAAGTGGACATTGTGGGTCCCCAACATGGCCTGAAAGCCTTGGCCCAGGGCCTGCTGAAAACCTGGGAGTCGCTGGGGAGCAGTTACCCAGGAGTCTGCCCCCACGTGGGTCAGCCTCCCTTGGAGGCTCTGAGCCAGATCTCCAGGCTGCCCGTGTCCAGCGCTCCTGGGAATCCCTTTTCTAGGCTGGGGACTGCATCTTCGGCCCCCTCTCCCTGGCCCTGGGTTTCAGTGCTGACCTCCTCCCCACACTGGACTGGGTCGCAGCGCTCCTTCCTGAGGCCCCGGGTCCCAAGCACCCCTACCATCTCCAGCGCTTCTTCCCCCACGCGCTCCTCTCCCGGGGTCCTTGCCCCAGCGGCGTCGGTGCTAAGCCGAAGATCCGATCTCCGGTCCTCGGCTCCCGGCCCCTGACACCCTCCTTGGCCCGCACCCCCAGCCACAGCGCCCCCTCGCGCCCGGCTCCCCGCCGAGCTGCGCCCGGGAGGGCGGGCGGCGCGTACCTTACTGTCGGCGCGCACCGGGCCGGCGCGCAGCAGCAGCAGCGGCAGCAGGAGCAGGGGAAGAGGCAGGGGCCGAGGC